AAGGAACGTACCGGACCAAAATAGTGAAGGAGATCATCGGCCGAGTGGACTGCCAATTCAGGTTGATAAAGGCTACCCAAAGGACGCTTCTGATCCCAAACCACGACAGGTAAGTTCGGTGCATCCCATACAGCATTAGATCTTTTGGCTGACTACTGGCATTCTCCCTCCCGTAGCTGGAAACCAACCAGAAAGAAACCCTGACGATCGAGCACTTTCAACCCATCTTGGCGACACTAGCAAATCTCGATCGCGACGATCCGAAACTAGCATTTCAAGCGGCTCGGTCCGTGGGGCTCTATCGACGTCTATGTGCATCATGTATGCCTAGGCACCTTAGTGGCGAGGATGTCGACTAGAAGAGTCAATTCTCGAAGGAGGCTAGCAATAACCCGAGCAAAGAGAGGAATGGACCTCAGCTTCCTCATGATGAGCAGCGATTACGACTGCTTTCCTTTGAGCAGGCTTTGGAATCATCGTGGGAACGAATGACTGTCGTGCTCAATAGCTGGAATCAATGCTCGAAAAGTAGTCTGGGCATATTGGTGGATCTTAAAAGAACCGAATAAGGGGTTGCCAGTGGGAAGTGTGCCATGTATTTCTTTACTGCTATGTAATGAACCAAACAGAGAACAAGTGAAGTCCGTACTCAAACGTAGTGTCAATCCTTTGACGAGGTTTTGTTTTATTTAGAGAATGTTGTACAAAGCACATTCCCCTTTTCCATTCTCGACCCAGACCACACAGATAATACCCCGACTGCGCCTGTTCCGGACGGTGAAAAGGGCCTCATGGTCCAGACCTCCCTACAGCGTCTGCGTAACCCTCTTGTGCGCTACATTTGCGGCGACGTTGCCTCCTTTCAACCCCTCCCTAAATCCATCCAGTCCCAACTAACGCCCCAAGATGCATCGCACTTCCGTGTCGCGCGCGTCTACGGCCGTGACCGAAACATCAGCTTCGACTGGTACGGGGAGTACTTTGAATTCCCAGTCGTGCAACGCTTGTTCCAGACCGAGTCCTGGGGCATTCTGCAGTACCAGGTCATCCGGCGGTATCGCGAGGTGGACACGCAGGAGATTAGCGTTGTGCTTGAAATTCGTCTGCTGCGAGACTCGAGCGCTGGCAAGATCAGTGATTTGGAGTTGGCGCGGGAAATTAAGATCTTTTTCTACGTATTCAAGTGCAACGAGGAGCTGTTTGAGCTCAAGCTCTTGCCTGATTTTAGCGGGTTTATGCGCAGTACGACGGGTAGGAAGGTGATGAATTTTGTCGACTTGACTAGGAGGTGAATAGAGGAACAGGCTAGTCCGTAGAGATGGCAGGATAGAATGTTGACAGTGAGCCAGTCAGTAGAATTAAGCCAAGGCGATTTGCTCTGGTATTTTAACAGTGCGTTTTTTGAAATATTGACGTGTACCAAACCGATTGGGCTGGACCCACTGTCAACAAGAGCTGAAAACTAATTTTGATTTCCATTAGCAACCAGAGGACTACACGTGATCAATAAAAAGCGATCTGCGCCTTATAAGAAGTCGCTACTGGGCTGTTGGTGTCTCTCAATTTCCCACTCTTGCTAGAACACTCAAAATGCAGACCCAGCTAGGCTTTCCAAATGACCCCATTTTCAGCCAGCTTCGGAGGCTAGCCAAGCAGTCGCCGGGCGTGTTATTCCACGACGAATATGGTGTTGATGCAAGATATAGCGACTTGATCCATGACGTTATCCACCTGCGGGAGATCCTGCGAGAGCATCTCCCGAGTGCTTCATTCGACGAGCAGGGTTGTCTGCGAGAGGATGCCAGGTCGATTGCGTTTCTGGCCTATAGTGGATATAGCTTTATTATCAGCTTCTTTGCCATTGTGGCTTTGGGGGGTATATGTGTGCCTCTATGTAAGCCTTTGTCTATCGGGATAGTCTGATGATATGGTACTAAACTACGATAGCAACGGGGCTGAATCCGGACGAGGCGCTGTACTTTCTGAAAAAGGTCAAGGCAGCCTATATCTTGACTGAGAAGAGAACGGTCGACATGGCCACGACATTTACAGAACATGCCCGAAACGAGGGCCAAAGGGTGACTTTGATCACAATCACAAGAGCGGATCCCGCGATAGCGACCATCTCCAGCTCGACAGAACTCGAGATCAACCAGGAGCTGACCTTGCCAGAAACAGCTGGCTGCCTGATTCTATTTACATCGGGCACAACCGGGCCTCCAAAGGGTGTTGTTCTCCCCCGGAAGATGTTCCATTGCGAAGAAGGTATAACACCCGCAAAGCTCTATCTCGCATCCTGTCCCCCGCACTGGGTAGGCGGAACAGGACTGATCGACAGTGTGCTTGTCGGTGAAAACCTGCATATACTGAAGAGTGAAGCCCCTCCTTCCCGGTTCTGGGAAGTGCTGAGGGAAGGAAGAGCCACGGAAATGGCCATCTCCCCGACGTTGCTGAGACGTTTGATGGAGTACTACCAGGAAAATATCAGCCATCTTGCGGCTGAACAACGGAATGAATATATAGACGGGGCGAAGAAGCTGGAACGGGTGCTTGTGAGCGGCTCGATGCTGAATCCATCCACTTGGCGCTTCTTTGCTGATTTGACCGGTATGCCCATTATCAACGGTTACGGGATTACAGAGATGGGTGGGGGTGTCATTATCAACCCCCTGGTTCGGTCTATGAGCAGGTGTGTGCATGGCGTTCTTCCCATCTCTAATGTCTCCTAACATAATCAGGGCTATATCGGTAAAGTCATCCCTTGGAGAACAGTCAAGCTGTCCCACGGTGACCATGGGGAAATTCTCGTCAAAAGCCCAATCAGATTCTCCCAGTAAGACCAGACCATCTTCCATCTCCTAGCCATCTACTTACACAGACAGTTACATTGGCGATGAAGCAGCCACTGGCGCCGCCTTTGATGAGGAGGGATTCTACAAAACAGGCGATCAAGCCCACCGCGTCGGTGATGATTACTATTTCGACGGAAGGATTTCATCCGACTGTACTGTATTCCTATATCCCCTATGTCCCCATCAGAGTAACCAACCAGACAGTTGTTCGCTTCCACGAATACACGATATCCATTCCCGAGCTAGAGAGACAACTCCTGGATCTCCCATATATCACCGAAGCGCACGTCCTTCCAGTCAAAGACCACGGAGCTGGCGGGTTAGTAGCCGCTCTTGTGCGGCTTCAAAAGCAAGAGAGTGACAGCGTTACCCTGAAGCGGATACGCGACGACCTCGCTGCGACGAACCTGGCTTCGTACAAGTTGCCTGCCCTCTTGCGGGTTCTCCAGAACGAGGAACATGTCCCGTTGACGCCGTCCGAGAAGGTGTTGAAGAGGGAGTGCCTCCGGAAATTCTTCCACATCTCCGAGTACATACCGGATCCATATGCCGTGGAAGGAGTCGAATACTGCGGGAATCAGCTTGATCTGGCTGCTTCATCGCGCGTATTTGACTGGGGAGGTTTATAAGCTGTCGAGACTAGATAGCTTCTCCGCCTGGCAGAATCCGCAGTTCCAGGGCAAGTCATCCTATACATTCCTTTTACATATGTTTGTTGTTTGTTTAAGTTCGCCTCTTACTTACCCCTTGCTTCACTGCATGTTTCTCGAGTCCGTTTATCCCATAAAGTCTGCCAGATATCTCATCTAGAGAGATTCATGGGATTTTATCAGTTCTGATTAGATTAATCAGCTTAATCTCCATTAACTAATGCATTCTTTTCCCTTCCATCTTATCTCCGTTGGAGTAGTGCCAAAGCGTCGGCCTTAGGCTCCTATTAAACCCAATAGGACCTAAACTCCAACATAAGCCTACCAGTAACCTCTTGCATACTTGGTACCCCGTCGAGAAACATAGGAGATTATGAGGATTGTAGTGGACAGGCTTGTGTTATTCAGTCAGCTCAGCCGGTCACACTGCATGCGACGTGATAGACTAGCACAACAGCGAGCTATAAAGTGTACTGTATCCATCTTGAGAAATCAAAACAAGAATTTCAACTAAAAGGGTCTCAGAAGAACAACAACCCCGTTCGCATCGTCATCATCGAATCACGGGATGTAGCCAATCATCCCCTTACGAGTACCCCACTCGTGTCCTTTTAACACATGACTATCTATTAGATTGGGCGTACACATCCTCAATGCGTTTTATCGAAGATTCAAACTGGACAACAGGGTCCATAAACATTTGCAGATTATACCTAAATTATCAGTTTATTATTTCCTGATAAGAAAGGTTATGATCCAGCTACCCTCCCGTCTAAGCATTCCATTCATTATATGGATGATGAGCATGATAATTCCTCGGCTGATAAACAGCTGAAGAGAGTTTACTCATCGCTGCTCGCACAAGACAAACCTCACTCAATCCCCCTCAAGATGCGGTATTATGTCCGCATAATTTCATGATGACACGGCAGTAAATGACTGTGATACCCCGTCGCGCAGCATGGCATGTTATCGCCCCAATGTCGAATTCAGCTGGTACGATGGGGGCCTGTGTGGCTTTTTTATATAGAGAGTATTGACAAAGTATTGATAATTGGGATAGATGTGGATCGAAGAGTATTTTGGCGATTGTACTGTTCCTATTGATCCGGAGAGATGAAATGCAGGGTATATATAGTTATGCCGAGGTTGTACGTGAATTTCATCTAGAATTGCAGAATGTGTCTTACAAAAGAAGATAAATACATCAGGAGAAAAATAGAAGAAGAAGATTAATGAAGAAAAGAGACCCCCATTCAGGATGAGTGGTCCAGGGGAATAAGAACACTGGCAGCCTCAAATATCTCAGATAGGTTGTATACAACTCCTAGTCAGATCAACACGTCTTGTCGCACATTGTAACTAACTATCGGCGGAGATACTAGCATTATATTATACGATATATCCGAAGACTTTATAATTTTAATATATTAACTCGCTAGGGATTAGCCCGCGTTATAGGTAATGCCGGCTAGAACGGGGTTAACGGTGGATTAAGTAGTATCTCCGGTGGAAATAAAAGGGGCGACGTATTAGGTGGCAAGTTAGTGCGTAGAAGTTAGCGGGGGTCGAGAAAAAGGGAGTTAGACAGGTAAAAGAAGAGAAAGTACGTCGACAAAGCTACGAGGAGGACGAGCGGTGTTTTATAGATTGAGGTGCCGGTTTAGGACGGTAAAAGCGGCTAGAGGAGGCACTAAACCCGAACGGGGCAAGGGGATAGCGGAGACGGGTAGGCGGTCTAGGGCGGCAGCACGGCGGTGCAATAGGAGCCGGTTCTGGCCCCCCGCTCACCGTGTCCTCGTATACTTTAAGGTTTGACCTTAAAGAACGAGAGGCAAAGGAGCTTAAAAGATTCTTCTCCTTAGACGACATTAAGGCAGCAAAGGAAGTGAAAGATAAGAGGCCTAATAAGGTTAAGATAGACCTAATTAGTGATACTAAGGAGCTAGTTAATAGGTCTAATAATCTAATAGAGATAGATAATAATAGTGATAATAGTGAGAGTAATGATAGTGATACTAGGCCTCTACTACTAGAGAGTAGCACCTAGCTACGGGCATTAGGGAGAAAGCGGGAAAAAAAGGAGGACGATATATTTGAGACTTATTAGTGGCATTGTGGCATATACAATAATAAAATTGAATTATAATCTATTCCATTGATATTTAAAGTCTAGCAGAAAAATTAGAGAGAAAGGATATAACTAAAATACTCAAAATTACAGCTCGACAATGCATAAGTTATGAAGCTATGAAATCTTAGCATGTCTATAATGTTTGTTACCTAATTGGGTACCCAGGGGTTTTATTGGGTCACCCAGTATAACCCAAAACCATATTGGGTCCGAGGTCCAATTGGGTCGTGGAGAAGTCTAATTACTAACTATCCACTCCCGCCTAGATATAAAAATTCAAACGACCACAACAAATTAAATAAAATAGATAAAAATACGAGGATTAAAGATTCGTAATTGATCGGAACATATGCTATAAGGTACAATAAAAAAAAGCTGAATATTGCTTATCTAAACCTACCTCATGGGTCCGGTTTCGACTACTAGATTTGCGAGCTTTGCGGAAGTCTAGCTTAGTTTGAGCTATAGTATGACGGCATTCCAAGGTTTTCGTCGTCCCATGAATAAACAGGAATATTTGCCCCTCATTCACTGGATTTTGGCAGTTAATGCTGTGCTTCCCTGGCGCAGTGTTTTGGGGTATCTTCGGCGATTGGAGACGAGAAACACACGAATGCCAAATCTTGGACAACGGGAGGCTCAATTTCCTGCTGTCATGTATTCAATTCTGTGGAGAGGATAATGCGGGGGATTACGAAGGAGAAACCATAACACTAATAAGATCTCTCCTGTACGTCAAAGGGCCCGAAGGAGCCGAAGTATATCACGCTGGCTGACATCCAGCTCCACACTCCACACGCCGAAAAAGTTACGCGAAGCGTGCGCCCAATCACTCCCGGGCCGCCATCTTCTTATCTGGCCGTGGGCCCCCGAGCCAATCTGCCAAGACAAAAACCACAGGATCGAGTGAAAAGAAAAATACCGAGCCAAGACAATGCCAAGAAGTGAGCCGCAATCAATTAGAAAGCAACTCTTTCCGGCGAAGCGGACCAAAAGGCGGATCGGGCAACCAGCAATTCTGCTGCCCGCGAGCGGCTAGGCAGGGCTGCTTTCGGAGTCGCCTTCCAATAGAATGGGAAGTTGGCGACCCCCCGTATCCCCCGTTTGGCCAGATGGGCCAGATGGCAGGGTTCCACAGTGGAGCATGAAGGTTCCTGGGAGGCTTGGGGGGCAAATCACCGTAGTTTCTCTTTGTCATAACCCGGGGAATCCTCTCCCCAGGTGGTCGGTGGGTCATTCTTATCTAGTTTTCCATATCGAAGACCCCAGGGATGGGTTTATTACGGCTTGAGATGGCCCATTGACTTGGTTGCACTTCATTCCTGCAGGAAAATCTAAGCAATTCGGGATCCTGAATGATTTGCTCACCCTACTACCTTAGATGCGCCTCACCCGGGCTAGCGGAGAGAGACAGCGAGACGGAATGGCCGGTAAGCCACTGCCAAGGGTTGCCAAGTGCCCAAACTGTCCGAGCACGGCAAAACGTGGTGGTGGTCTAGTAGTACATTCTTAGGTCCGAGGCACGTCCAGGATTTTGTCTCCACTGCTTGCTTGAAGGGGGCGAAAGAGGGGAGAGATAATGGTGGTCTTGAGTTTGACCCCGGAATTCGCTTATAAACTGTGCGTTGGGTTGATTCTCTTATTCAGTCCCCCCTCCTCCCCTCCCCCACACACAGCTGTTTTCGTCTCATTTACTTCTCTTCCTCTCATTCTCATCTGCTACTGCGGCTTTTTTTTGGGTCAATTTGGCCTGTAGCAAGATGGGTCACCCCGACGAGATCAACGCTCTCGAGTCGCAGCCCGGCTACATCGACACCAAGGAAGGCGAGCAGGATGAGCCCGTGCAGCTACACCGGGAGCTCAAGGCTCGTCACATTTCCATGATTGCAATTGGTGGTGCTATTGGGACTGGATTGATTGTTGGCACTGGCAGCGCCTTGACGTGAGATTTCCTTTATTAAAACTCTACCTGAAATATTTCTAACCCAGACTTCTAGAGCCGGAGTATGTGGAACTTTTCCCAACTACTATCGACGCTTGAAATTGACTAACTATTCTAACTAGCCTGGCTCCCTACTCATCGCGTACTGCTTCATGGGTCTCGTGGTTTGGACAGTCATGTGTGGTCTGGGTGAAATGGCCGCCTGGCTGCCCTTGTCGTCTGGTTTCACGGGCTACGCTGGTCGTTTCTGTGATCCTGCTCTCGGATTTACCCTCGGATGGTGGTGAGTAAAAATTCATGCCAGTTTCTGAGAGGGAAAAGTACCAATCGTATTCCAGCTACTACCTCAAATACATTATTCTACCGCCCACGCAATTGACAGCAGCCGCCCTGGTCATCACCTACTGGCCGAAAACCTCTGCAGAAAATGTCAACCCGGGTGTATGGATTGCCATCTTCATGGTAGCAATCATTACCATCAACTACTTTGGTGTGAAATTTTTCGGTGAATTGGAATTTTGGCTCTCGTCTTTTAAAGTGCTTATCATTTTGGGCATAATTCTGTGCTCTTTCATTTTCGCACTTGGTGGTGGTCCCGATCACGACAGGAGAGGTTTCCGGTACTGGAACGAACCTGGTGCTTTTGCCACGAAATATGTTGACGGAAACCTTGGGAAGTTCCTTGCTTTTTGGTCGACCATGGTGCAGGCCACTTTTGCGTTCCTTGGTATGGCATTCCATGTTTCTCGCTCGCTTTCGGATTTTCTAACCCCATTGTCTTCCAGGAACTGAGCTTATTGGTGTCACCGTTGGAGAAGCCCAGAATCCTCGCAAGACCATCCCCAAAGCTATCAAGCTTACCTTCTGGCGTATCATCGTGTTCTATATTCTCAGTGTCCTCTTCGTTGGTATGCTAGTCCCCTATGACTCAGAGGACCTGGCATTCGCCACCAAGGCTAAGAACTCTGCCGCCGCCTCGCCTTTCGTCGTCGCGATGAAGCAAGTTGCCGCTCTTCCTCACATCATCAACGCCTGTATCCTTGTGTTTGTGCTATCAGCCGCCAATTCTGATCTTTACATTGCGACCCGAACACTATACGGTCTCGCTCGTGAGAAGAAGGCCCCCAAAATTTTCGCTCGCACCAACCAGGCCGGTGTCCCAATTTTTGCCTTGATTCTTTCGGCTGCGTTTTGCTTGCTCGCGTTCATGAGTGTTTCCAATGGTTCCAAGGAGGTCTTTGGCTACTTCACCGACATGGTGTCGATCTTCGGACGTATGTTCTACCTTTCCCCAAATGACTTAAGTATGTTCTGATATTGATCTGCTACCACAGTATTGACATGGATCTCCCTTTTGATCACTCATATCTTCTTCATTCGCGCTCGCCAGGCCCAGGGCGTCGATGAAGCAACCCTGGCTTACAAGGCACCTCTTGGAATCATCGGTTCCTCCATCGCCCTGTTTTTCTGTGTCCTGGTGGCCTTCACCCGCAGCTTTGGCGTGTTCATCCACAACCCCGAAAAGTACGGCAACTTTGACTACAAGACCTTCATAACCTCATATCTCGGAATCCCCCTTTACGTGATGGCTTTCACCGGTTGGAAGTTCTTCAAGAAGACCGAGATTATCAGGCCCCACAATGCCGATATCTGGACCGGAAAGGCCGAGATCGATCGCGAAGAGGCCGAATTTGAGGCCATTCTGGCCCTTGAGCACCAAAACCTCACTGGCTGGAAGAAGGTTTATAAGAAAACCCTTGCGTGGCTATTCTAGTCGCGTTTCATAGATATTGTTGGATAGATTTCGGAGCTTTATCTTCATGAGATATGTGTTGCCAAGAATTCATAACTGCGTTTAGAAATGAATTAAAGAATTATGATCAATTATCAACCATCTCACAGTGAATTCAAGCCAAGGCGTGCCTGTCTCTTGAGACAATGGTCTCCACTCATTTATAACGCAACCTTCATAGTGGTACTTGCTTACAGCCTTGCCGGCCTTTTTACAATGGCGTTTGATCGCATCCCCACGGGTTCGCTTTCGACTCGAATCGGCAGAACACATACTTTCCTGGCCTGTTGGCCCTTTATAGGCGACGTCGGAAGCGTTGTCGGGAGCGTTACTCTGGGTTCTGATTCTGATATCATGCTAAGGGAAATGAAATCTAAGTGTTCTCCCGAAGTTTATCTGTCTTATCTACCTTCTTTATATTTTTAAGTCTCGCTTTGCGAATCAGCGTGACAACGTCGACCCTATTCCTTTGTTCGCTTAGTAGGGGTAGCGTAGTGTATAGCTCCGGGTTAGACTATCTCGGGGTAGAGGGGCAGGGGGGGTAAAATGGGCGTAGTGTCTTAGGTCTATTAAGACCTATTGCGCACTTCTTACGTGGTCGCTTAGTGTCGGAGTTATTATCGGACGTGTCTATTTTAGACTCTTCGCTGTCGCTTAAAGTAGATAAGGAGGCGAACTTAAGTAGAGGTTTGGTCTTAGTTTTATCTTAGAGATTTTCCGGTGTGGTTTCCCTCTTTCTAAACAGTAGCAGTCGATCTATAGTGGGAGGCGGCCGGTAGCGGATAGACTTCCGCATGACCCAACCTAACCCGGACCCAACCCGGACCTAACCCGGACTGGGTTGGGTTTTGGGTCGGAGTCTTCGACCCAGTACTGGGTCTAGGTCAGAGTCTTCGACCTAGTACTACGTCTGGGGCCCTAAGTTGGGTTACAAACGTTATAAATAAGCTAAGACCCATGACTACATAAATTGTGAAATTTCGGGCTGTAATATTGAGTATTCTAAGGTACGTTAAAATATCTAACGGCTATTAGAATTTAGGCCTTTTTATAGAATCTAATATAGTGAATAGTAGAGTTTAAATTGATTAATTATCTAGCTATACTACTAACTAGTGGTACTTAAATATATTATTATCTCGACCCTTACGCTTCCGTCCTAAGGCACGTACCTAGGTATTATTCCCTAGTAGTGGTAGCACAGTATTGGATGGAAACCGGTGTGGAATAGGAGCGATTCTTGCAAAGCGTTGACGATGAGGTTAAAGCTGTAGTGGACCTTGGGAAGGCCAAGAGCAGTCTTGTTGACTCGCTATTGACAGCGGCGATGGGTTAACCGATGCGCGCAGAGGATTTCCATTGGATGTCACACCGACGAGTGGAGTTGTTGAACTTTGGTGCGATTTTCCAACGGAGAGGGTGCCGTCGGTGCCTTGCCTAATTTGATGCTCTACTACGTCTTGTCGCGCCTGAAGTTCCTCGCGCGTTTCCCTAGTTTTCTCTGTCTGTTGCAAGAACAACCTGATTTAAGCTTGGTTAACATGTGTGATTCTTTGTCAGATCTGAAGATTGCTATGTACACATTTTATTATAGTGTGTGTGTGTATCATTTACCTCGACCCCTCGCAATGAAGCGATACGTAGGCTACAGCAACTATATATATCCGTGTACATACATGTAAAGCGTTCCACTTCCTGGAAACGAACTTAGAGCCTCGTCAAGGCCTACCGTGGCCTACGCCGTTCGTACTGTTAGGCTGCCCTTATGGCGCGCGACTGCAAAACCGCTGTGATGCCTCAGTGAGATTAGCGGTTGACGTCAAGATTACCAAAAGTTCCGAGTGCTTGCACTGAATTTAATCACTCGGCGCTTTATTTAAAAAGTGGAATAACCAAGGCCTATGAAAATGGACGACGTAGAGTATCAAAAGAGTGCATCCGCTAAAGCTAGTTTCATCGACGTTAATTGAGAGCCCAGTGATCATCCTCGGCCGCTAGCATTCCGATATACCATTATCATAGCAAGACTGATAGCTGTCCAACAACCCCACTTGTCCATAGAATAGGTGTAGCGACAGCGACGCGGCCATCACTATTCAGCCGTTGTACAGCGACAAGCTCAGCATTCGTGAGAAGAAAAGCATAACGGGCTCTGTGCTGGTCCATATAAAATATCACCTTAGCCAAAAACCTGTTTGTATTCTCTTTGGTCTTCCAGGTTCGGCGAAAACTGCATTGAGGATCTCCACTTCCAGGAAACCTTCAAATTTCCGGGGGCTTTGTTGACGCCAATGGAGAGACTAGCACCAACTACGATAAATGCAGTATCTGTCCTGAACTGATCAATGACTCCCGTATATCCTCCCCCATCTATTGTGACCCCCCAGAGCCGTTGAGCTGCGAGGACCCGAGCAAGTTGTTCGAAGCCAGCTCGAAGGGCGCATCTAAACGCACCTTCTCTACGTAAGCCTCCAACCGCTTCACAAACGTCAGTATAAGCCATAAATACCATAACAGTAATTCACCCACTTCCTGGGGTAAATACGGATAAATCACGTTGGTGTCATTGGATACCGAAAACCCTTATGGTACTGCGAGACGAATGTAACGAGCCCGTCCTCACTGAATATATTGCGATGACCGCCGCTATCGGTATCATCGGTTGTTCAATTCTTCTGCTACCTTCCTAATAACTTTGCTGGTTACTATTTTTGTTCAGCCCGAGAAGAAAAGTCGGATTATCTGAAGTAAAGAGAGGTCTTCACATCCTGAAATCTGTAGTACTGCTGCCGGCTTGAGTCTTCGAATATCCATTGACTATTGACTGGGATGCCGAGAATGTCCTATCTATCCGCTCAATTTCTGACAGTATTTCTAATCCAAAGGTGTGTCATACCCAGGCCTCGAGAAGGCGTTGCCACCACTTCTGACCGACTTTTACTAATTCAATGACCTTTCAGCACGGTCAGTATTTAAACAGGATCTCAGCAATCATGTATTGCGATTTCTCTTCTGCTCTTACTGTAGCGGACCATATCAGAAGGTGCGGCCAATCAAACAGCAACTGGTTGCACTACATCGTCCTACCAATGACTCATTTACCCAGTCCCCCTCACCGGAGTGATATCCAAGCTATCGCTACATCATATATGTATCCGATAAATGTCGAAGTCCATTTCGGAGCTACCAAATATGCTCCGGCAAAGAAAGAGTCAACCTCTCTCTTCTCCTTTCACGTTGTCTAACCGTTGAGCAAGCACTTGACAAGGCCAGTCGCCTTCCAGGTTCAAACTTTCAGATCGTTTAAACCCTTGAGACTCATAATATTGGATCAATTTGCCGTCGCCACCTGCATAGCAATCCACCCGTAGTAATGAGACTCCAGCTCCGTTGGCAAGATCACGTGCATATTCCAAAAGTCGTTGGCCAATCTGGTTGCCAGCCCATCGTCGATCCGAGACTAATAAGCGCACGTAAAGCTCAGGCTCAGAGACAGCTGGCACATAAGGCATCCTCTCTCCAATAGCAAGCGCTCCTATGATGACCCCCGGAGCTTCTCCGTTCATAGTTTGGGGGTTTGTATTAGAGAGTTGATTTTGGCCCAGCATGGGCGTGTCATCAGCAACCTTGATAGCGAGCCAAAGACCAAGGCCGGTTGTTGCAAATTCTCTGAGTCGTTCGGCGCGTTGTGGATTCTCAGAAAGCGGTGCTGCTCCCCACTGCCCAATTCTGTTACGCGATACTAGCCATTTGACTGCGGTGTCTAGGAGATGGAGGACTGCCGGAACGTCGTCCACTGTTCCCCGCACGATAGCCACTTTGTGGAATCCATTGTAAACCGTTCTTTGAAAACTTTTAGTGAGTGTCTGTGAATGGCCTTTCGCTTTTGTTCTTCATTTGATATTGTCCCCTTCTGATCTACCTCTTCTTGAGTAGATTGGCGCTTCGAACAATAACACTCACTTTGATGCCATTTATCCAAGCAGTTTTGATTTGAAGAGAGATGGTTGTCAAATAACCTCAACACATTCAACTGATTCGAAAACTTTGAGGAGATCCGGACTAGAAAAGAATCTGCCTATTCCTTCTGCGGTTCGTGATCGTCGTTTTCAATTCCTTTTCAAAGTTCTTGTCAGAATGCGGATGCGTGGTGACTGACCCCTCAGGTAAGTGGAACCATCGTTCAGGTGCGTACATAACTAATAGCCAATAATTCTTGATCGTATGTGTCCTAGTTTCGTTCCGCGGGGGTCAGTGCGCGGGAACAGATAGCGGTCGGTTTACCGTTTTGGGAAAGCCATGCGTAGATTTCTCCACGGCCCAATTGGACCCGCATCCAGCCCAACCCAACCCAACCCAACCCAACCCAACCTAGCTTTGGGTTGGGTTTTGGGTTATACTGGAAGGCTGAGGAATTTGTATCCATGCGGCCCCGTTTCAGCCTCAGGCGCTGTGCGGGGACGGGGGCCAGAGGGCGGGGACAGGCTTTTGTCTCAATGTCCCAAATGGGTCGTCCAATTCAAAACAAGAATCTACTCTAAATATGACTTTAGGATAAGGTTTGCATACAAAAGGTGCTGCCCGTAATTCTCAAATCAGATAGAAGAAACGTACCCTAGTATCCGTATCCTTAGTGTCTAAAATCATAGCTTTTATCATCAGAGTCTAAATAATAGCTTTTGCGCAGTCTTAAAGGTAAGGAATTAACTGGAGGCCCTGGTCGAGAAACTGAGGAAATATCCGATGTATTTTTTAGATGTGGAATCCGCAGAAAACCTGGTTCTATATTAGAACTGGGTTAAGTAGAGGGTTGAAACCTAACAGGTTCTTATTGCTAGATATGATATGTAATTTAGGACAATGCTTTCAATATTACAATTATGCTTTATGACCAGGTGGGAGATTAAGGAAATGTTTGTGTTTGCACTGCTCTGACGATGAAGACTGGACAAAGTAGTTTTCGTACAGACATATAACCCATCGTGTCATTTGTCGGGTGTGGTAGATCCTAATGGAATAAGAACACGCCAAACAGAACATCTGAAAATTTGAAGTAGATCTTTGGGTTTGGTTACGACGTGATGGAGAAAGGAAAAAGAGGGTTTTAGCATATACAGAGGGGATCGGTAATTACACCCCCCCCATCAGTAATTACACCCCCCCTGCCTGAATTTCCAGGCCACAATTTTTTTCTGCCGGCAATATTTCTGCCACCACCACAAACTTGAGGTACTTGCGTTTAATATGTAGCCCCCTAGTTAAATAAAGTCCCTTTCGTACTCTACCACCACCATGCCAAAAACACAGCACTAGTCCCAATTAGGAAATAGATGCTGATTTCAAAAACTTATGTAGAAATGAAGGAATTGGCCCATGCAGCGGCCGGCCGCTATTTTACGTTGAATTCTTTAAAGAGTTGCATGAGAATAGTGAAGAAAATGAGTAATTTGTATTGCATTAGCTATTTATGGAGCTCCCTGGCGCTTCCTGAGGCGATCAGACCAGGAATCCTCGTCCTGAGATGCCCATGAAGCTATTCCCGACCCCTAAGATGTAGCCATGCTTGGCGGCGATGCCTGCTGGGTCTCTTCACGGCCACGGCCACCTTCCTGAGAAGCTTGTTGAGCTTCTTGGGCCATAGATGAAGCTATTCCCACCTCTTGCGATGCCTATTGTGTCCCTCCACGTCCTCTGCCGCGTCCACGGCCCCGTCCACGGCCCCGTCCGCCTTCCTAAGAACCCTGTTGAGCTTCCTAGGCCGTAGGTGAAGCTATTCCTACCCCTTGTGATGCCTGTTGTGTCCCTCCACGTCCTCTGCCGCGTTCACGGCCCCGTCCACGGCCCCGTCCGCCTTCCTGAGATAGTATGAGCTCGAAGCCGGAGGGGTCTCGCTGGGTGGAGGTGTCTTGGGTGCTTGCTTAGGTGCTTCCTTGGGTGCTTGCTCCGCCGCCGATGAAGTTCCTGGCGCCTCGGGGGCGTCCTCGCCGGCGTACTTGGAGAGGATCCTGGAGTAGGAGTAGCGGGTTAATAGGAGGTGCAAATACACTATACAAATGCTAGTGTTGATGAAATAACTTAGGCTCAAAGCTCTTCTCCTCTTCTTCGTACTGCATAATAAGATAAATGCACGGAAACCCTGCCGTATTCTTCGAATTATAGCGGCAAAGTGGAGGAATAGGCGGCTTATCCTCTGCTTCCGGTAGGTAATGGTTGTAGACAGCCTTCGTAAGCTTGATTGCTTGCAATGAAACCCGTCGATCTACTAATTTGAATAGACGCCAGAGATTCGTAGACCTTCTTACCTTCTTATTCTCGATCTTAGCCGTGACCTTATCGAATTGAAGCTTTATAGTATTCTTAAAGGTGCGAAGAACAACTAGTAGATTATTGGTCGAGACTTAAAGGTCTTGCTTAAGCAGCCAGTGAGCTCCCTTAGTCCGAGAGGTCGAAATCTCATTGAGATGAAGGTATCCGGAGGTGTATTCATAAAGGAAATACTCAGGGTAGTCGTCTAGCCATTTAGTCTATAGATACTCGAGTAGAGGCATAAAAATCGGCTCTTTGTAGCTTTCTTGAAGCTATTTCCATCTCTCCTATCTCTCTTCCGTAGTGACAGCGTAGACGACACGAATCCACCGCTTTAGCATTATCTTCCACGCTTTATCGACCATTTCTCGAAGCTCTCGGTCTCTCTCTGCCTTCGTCCGACGCTATGAGGAAGCTAAGGAAGCGGATATATTTGCTAAAGCTTCAGTCTCTTGCCGAGCTTTTGCGAGCTACTTAGTAAGTAGCGGACGCGCTTTCTTTAAGATATTCATGTTGATATGCTATAGATAGATCATATGCTTTGTAGAAGGGAAGACAACCTTCATAGTATTTATTAGCGCCTACTCCTTATCGGTAAGGATGGTCTGGGGTGCTTAAAGGCCGAGAGCTTCGTAAGCCTCTGTAAGATAGCTTAAAATGACTTCGTAGCTATTATCCTTCTCGTCTTTTATGAAGGCGAAGCCGACGTAAAAGGTTGAGCCCGTAGCAGTGAAGCCGACGATATCGAGTATTGGAAGGCCGTACCGGTTAGTTTTGTAGGTGCAATCTATTGAAATAACCCATGAATTTGTCTTAAGTAATGCTATACTCGTCTTATATATATAGAAGAGGGCTGTAACATGATTCTTATCGTCAACTTTATACTTAAAGATCCATTCGCCGTCCTTTAGAAGCTCTATCAATAGAGCTTGAAGCGGAGTACGGCCGGCAAGGAATTTAGCATGAAGCTTCTTCCGGAAGTTGTAGATATCCTAGGCATTAAGGCAAGTCTCTGGATTGTCCTTTCGAAGACCATGAAGGACCTGACGGGTAGGAAGGCCCTGCTCAAGCTGCTTTTTGACGCTATCTGATACCGTAGAAAGCTTAATACTTCGCTGAATTGGGTGGGTTGACAGAGGTGACGGACCATGGTTATGTGTCGAATCCTCCACCGTAATAGACCACCTACCCGTCTCGAGACTTAGCCGAAGCGCTATACTGAAGGGACAGTTATTGGCAAGTGTCGTAGTCTGGCGCTCCGGAGGTCTATCAGGTCGCTTTCTTATCGGACGACCTCTGTCACAACATAGTCGGACGGTCTTCATGACCCCTTTCTTAGTACGTTTTGAGCGGAGAATTGAGACTGCATAGCCATATTGACGCCCTAAAGCATTGATCGTGGTGATTCCGTGCTCTGGCGTGTCGTAGTACGTATCGAGAGGGGGTAGCGGGAATGTATGGAGGCTT